TCAAATGAGTTGCTTTTCTTTTTATTCACTTTCTTCATTGTCCAGTTCCCACATCTGTACATGGTGATGGGGAATACAATGGTTTGGATTATTTGCTCTGATCAATGGGGAAGCATAATTGTACAATTGTCATAATGCCATTTAAAAAAACCTGTGTGGGAAGTGTGGAAAGGGAAAAGGTGATTACAACATCCAAGGCTATTTGGCTTCCTTCCACCTCCTCTTCTGGAAATAAAGTATACCCACTGCTTCCCACATGACCCCTGAATGCAATACATACAAAAGAGTGTCTTTTGCAAATGGGGGAAAGAGTGAACAGTACTATAACTGGAGTTGAAAAGCTGTTCATTTTTTTTTGCAAGAACAAACAAACAAACAAACAAACAAAAATTCCTCAAAACATTACAGCAGGAGGAAAATAGAAGAGCACCAACATTGTGGAAAAAAGGTCCCCTGCCACTGCTGCCACCACCAATGCTATCCAAACATATTCTACTACAAAAGCACCATGTGAAAAAGCCCTCACACGCACACAAATAGTTAAAACATGCTTGAAAAGCTATTTTAAGCCATTTAACTATTGAGGAGGGTTTTATTTCTCCAGAAATAGTTCTTTGCAACAGAATTTTGACTCAATGGAATGCTGGGGGAAATTGTTATTCATATCCCCTTGATGATGCCTGATTGCATTACTACTAACTTGTAATTAGTTGATAATGCAATGCGTAATATACACTTACACCCTTGTAGTCATTAATTACAGGTATAAGTGAACATACTTGTGCCATAAAGACACCTGGCTCATTGTGAGCTAATGATTACTTTTCTTCATCTTGAGATAGCAAAAGAGAAGTGTGACATGAATTGCCACTTTCTGAGGTATGTATATAGTCCAGGTCTGTACAATGTTTGACCAACCAAGTTAAATGCACCAAAGAAAGACACACACCCCTAAACTATGACATTCAAATAGCAATTATCCAGGTACTCTATAGCAATACTACCCAAATCAATGTTCCGTGAACTGGTGTCAATCTGTCAATCCTTGCTGAATTTTTGGGAAAGCAAGAGACAATTGTTGCCAAAGGGCACAAATATGGTACTGGTTGCTAGCGCACTGGAGATAAAATGGGTGGTCCCTCACATCAGACAGCTTGAGATCCACTGCTCTTCATTTCCCCAAGTCGTGCAGATTAGACAGGCAGTAAACAGAAAAGGTCTATCTAATCTAACTCTGCATAAACCTATGTACATCACTGTAACAGCTCATCCCTGGTTAAAAAAACAACAAAAAAACCTGGGGGGGGGAAAGCAAAAAGCCCTTGTAAATGTCAGGCTACAACTCTGTGTCTCGAGTGCACAATTTAGCAATATTGTTCTTGTCTATATGTTACAAGCATTGCTTTAATATTTTAAAAAAAAACCTTTGTGGGTCTCCTGTCATGGCCCTAAACCAGAAAAGCCCAAACTGCCATGTATCCAAAGTGAGGACCTCACGTAGACACCTGAGTAGTCACATCTGCCTCAACAATTCATTAACAGTTCAAAAGGCCAGGGTTAGGAGCTGCAAAACAAAACATTCACACCTAGGAGATTTATCAGTACCAGCCAGGATGTGTCCAGCTGAGGATGAGATAACATCATCACCCCATCTCCCATCTTTGGAAATTGTTTACTTAAAAGAGCATCTATCTGGAATCCTTTGATATACAGTAACAAATCTTC